ATACAGGGTTCTTTGAAAACATGCAGGGTTCTTTGACAAAATACAGGGTTCTTTGACAACATACATGGTTCTTTGACAACGCTATTGCTCCTTGATTGTCCTTAAATATTGGCACTGGCACGTATTTACAGTCTTTGTCCATTTTATTCAACAACTGTACAATATACTATACAAACTTTCCTGTGTTCTGCTGCCATTGCCATATTTTCTGTTTCACCTCTTGATAAAGCCACTTTTTGTTGTTCCTTTGATTTCCATGAAATAAGAGGTCCATTTTTGTTGAGGCTAAAACAATAGCCTGTAGTCCTCCTTCTGTCATTTTGGTCCAGTATCCAATCTGCATCACTATATGCCACAAGTTGAAGTTTCTCCTCACTCCTCTAAGAACATATTGTCCCCTTCAAGTATCTCAGCACATGTTTAGCTGTTATCAGCTTACATTCTCTTGGTTGCGATAAGTATTGTGAAAGTTTACTTACAACCCAACTGAGATCAGGCCTTGTGCATGTCATAACATATATCAAGCTGCCTACATGCTCACGATAATGTCTTGGATCTGCAAGTTCACTTTCACACTCAAAGTTTAATTTCTGTTCACATGGAGTTCATCTTAGGCTACAATCAGACATACCAAACCTCTCAAGTATTTTCATTATGTACCTTTTTCAAGTCTGTCATACACTCTGATACCAAACTTGGTGCCATTCTTACAGATGAGTTGATTGTGTCCTTGTTTGAAGTTGACCGAAGCTCCCTTAGATGTTGCTGCTTTCACAGAGAAGATGCTGTGTGGATATGTGGGGATGTACAGCACTCGTGTTATCACCTCCTTCACGTTCCGTCCCTCTCTGTCCCACAGCCAAACCTCTGCATCACCTTTCTTTAGTGCCACACCGCTCGTCCTGGTCCCGTCAGCGAGCTCCACCAAGTGTTCCTCTGGTTAAAAAGCATCGTCGAAGCTTCTGAACTTCTTCAGATCATTGATTATGTAAGAAGTTGCACCGGTGTCCACCATCAGCCCTTGCAGTTTTAATCCTATGATCTGGAAGTCGTTCATCTTGAAAACAAACGAGCATTCATCCACGTCATCAGTTGCTTGTTTCACACTTTCTTTCTTCCTTCGTCGACAGTTACTTTCTTTATGACTCGAACTTTTACATCAACTGCACCATTGTCTCAGTCCTTTAGAATTCCTCGGACACTGACATGCTTTGTGTCCCTTCTGACCGCAGTTGTAGCACGTAAACTCTGGATTTTCTTTTTGTCTCTGCATTATTTGTTCATAAACCACTTGCCATCATCATGTTATCTTCATCCACATTTGCATTAAAGTTCTCAGTGTTTTCACAACTTCTCAGCTTCACTTGGAACTCACCAAAGTTTAGCTTGTGGTCACTGCTTTGCGTTATGTGGACTACAAATGGTTTAAATTGTTCAGGCAGACCTTTCAGAATCATTGTGATCAATAATCCATCGCTCAGCTTCTCTCCAGCATTTCTAACCGCCGTGATGGCAGTTTCAACTCGAATAATAATGTTCGTGACAGTTTCACTGGCAGCTTTCCAGAGGGATGTCAGTTCTGTGTAGAGGCTGATGACCCATGGCTTTCCTTTGCCCGTATAATGGTCTTGCAGGATCTGCAGTGCCTTCCTGCCGTCCTCTGCTGCCTCGCTCATGACTAAAGACAAACTTTTGTCATCCAGAAACTGTATCAGTTCAGCCTAGGCCTCTTCATTTTTCTCTAAATCATCTTCTTCCTCGGAATCTGCATTCTGCTCGACTTGACCGAGTACGACGTCTTCCGTAGGTGACCCAAAAACTTTGTCTCCCACAACTCGTAATTTCTGTTGTCCCCATCAAAGCACAACCCTTGCCACTGACTTCCCACCTCCTTGCTTCTTCTGGGCACATAACCTGTTGGCGTGACATCTTTCAGGCAGGGTAGTTGGAGAAAGTCACACTTGACTCAGTATTTGGGTGAAGATCGAGGTAAAACCATCTCATTATTCCAGTTTGGTCAATCACTCTTTCAATCAGTCACAGCTGTGCACAAATTATACGTCTTGTATAGTCTCTTAATGATGATGTCAGTGAAGAGCACACCTGTCAATATGTTAAACTGGAAATCTGCAGCTCCACACACATGTACGAGCTGGACCAGACAGGTTCTTTATTTTCTTAAACTTTAAACAAGCCCGGCTGACTTTAGTTTAAGACTGGATCATTTGAAATCTCTTTCTGTCATATGTTAAAAGTTGCAGATGGTCATGTGTGTCTATAGAAACTTAAATGAAATGCGTCTTTGATTTGATTTATATTATTCACTTATTTGAACCTTTTTATGTTTCATTAATTTGTCTTGCACTGGGGCGGGGCTATTATTTTTGGTGTAAAAAATGAAGAGATTTCAAAATATTCAGAAAATTAGCCCAAAAAGTAAGTAAAAGCTAGAATGAGCAAAACAGTAGCTAAAAACTAAAACTCGTAAAACAATACAAGCCAAAATCAGCAAAACAGAAGGTGAAGCTGAAACTAGCAAAACATGAACTAAAACAGAAAAATGTCAAAGATGGTTAAAAGGAAATGGACTGTACTTATACAACTCCTTTCTATCTTATCGAGACACCCAAAACTGTTTACAACACAATCTGTGCCTCATTTGCCTCCACACATTCTTACAGGACTCTACTACATCTCTGCAAAGATGATCTGTAGAGACTAATCAGAGCTTTATCACATTCATACACTGATGGGACTCACAACGGAGGCAACGAGGGGTTCAGTGTGTTGCCCAGGGACACTTCAACATGTGACTGCTGGTGAAATCGAACCCCCAACTCTATCATTGGTGGACGACTGCTCTAACCACTCAGCCACAGCTGCCCCAAAAGTATGGTAACTTAAAGCCAAACTTGGAAAAACAGCTAAATGTTAAAACCAGCAAAACATAGCTAAATGCTAAATTTAGCTAAATTTTTCTCATTCAACTTTTATTTATGCTGAGCCTCGAGAACTCATTTACAAGAGAGACCTGTAAATGTTACCTCAAAGCTTGTGTTTTTAGAACAGTTAAAATTAAATGTTTAAAAGTTAAATTTAAATTAAATTATATTGAAGTAGATAAAAAACAGTGTTTAATGGATGGTGGTGGACTTCAGAAGGAACAGGCACACCTACCACCCCCCCACCACCACCACCCCCCACCACCCCCTGAACATAAGAGGATCTGCGGTGGAAGTGGTCTCCAGCTACAAGTACTTGGGTGTACACATGAACAACAACCTCAGCTGGAGCAACAACACCACCAGCCTGATAAAGAAAGATCATCAGAGACTCTACTTCCTCAGACGGCTGAGACGAGCTGGTCTGGAAGCTCAGTCCTCACCTCCTTCTACAGGTGTGCAGTGGAGAGCATCCTGTGCTCCAGCATCAACGTGTGGCATGGAGGCTGCACAGCTGCAGAAAGAAAAGCTTTGCAGAGAGTGGTGAAGGCTGCACAGAAGATGTTGGAATCAGCCTCCCCACCATCACAGACATCTACACCTCTAGATGCAGGAAGAGGGACACCTGCATCATGAAGGACCCCACTCACCCAGCACACACACTTTTTGCCCCACTCCCCTCAGGAAGGAGGTTGAGGAGCATTAAGTGTAGAACCACAAGACTGAGGAACAGCTTCTACCCTGAGTCTGTTAGACTCATGAATCTCTAACCAGAATAATCACTGTGAAAAATCACATCATCTGATCTGTTTCATGTTGCTGCTGATCTGTTTCATGTTGCTGCTGATCTGTTTCAATGTTGCTGCTGATCTGTTTCATGTTGCTGCTGATCTGTTTCAATGTTGCTGCTGATCTGTTTCAATGTTGCTGCTGATCTGTTTCATGTTGCTGCTGATCAGTTTCATGTTGCTGCTGATCAGTTTCAATGTTGCTGCTGATCAGTTTCATGTTGCTGTTGATCTGCTTCATGTTGCTGCTGATCTGTTTCATGTTGCTGCTGATCAGTTTCAATGTTGCTGCTGATCAGTTTCATGTTGCTGCTGATCAGTTTCAATGTTGCTGCTGATCAGTTTCATGTTGCTGCTGATCAGTTTCATGTTGCTGCTGATCAGTTTCATGTTGCTGCTGATCAGTTTCAATGTTGCTGCTGATCTGTTTCATGTTGCTGCTAATGTGTTTCATGTTGCTGCTGATCTGTTTCATGTTTCTGCTGATCTGTTTCATCTTGATGTGTTCATTCATGCTCATCTGTTCAGACAGACTCATGTTCGTGCTGCTGTTCAACATATTGTGTTTATTGTTTTTATGTTATGAGTGCTTAGTGTATATTTAGTTGATGTTTTTCTTAGTTCATATCTTAGATGTTATTACTGGTTTTCTTATACATTTTATTGATGGATGTAACTGGGACCCTGTGAACATAATTTTGTTCCACCACATGTACCACATGAGGTGCGAATGACAGTAAAGGATCTCTGAATCTCTGAATTTAAGGGCTTGAAGTTATCGACTTTGAATCAGGAAATAAGAAAAATCTTGAAAAAGTTTCAAATCAAAACTCAGCTGTAATGTCCTATAAAAGCTGAACGTTTTGATAGATGAATGGCTAAAATAGCTCATACTGCACCATATCATAAACGGGCGAGCCTTCTATGCTTCCTCCTCATTCTCACAACAAATGCAGAGAGCTTGAGATGATATTTTATCTCTGTGACTACGTCTAACTAATCTCTACTGAAATGTTTTCTGTGTCATGAAGCGTTAATGGTCAGTACACAAAGCAAGGCAAGCTGGGAGCTGCCGTGCTCGGCAGCCACTCTACTAAAGAGGTCAGTCTTGAATTTGGTCACCTGTTTGAGATTATCGGTGGGACTTTTAGTTCTAATCATTTCTTTTAACATTCTTCTTTTCTTCAGTACAAACTGCTTTTGTACCTGAGCCAACAGAAACAAGTGACTGCAGCCAAGATTCACGTGGGCTTTGTTTTCACGGTGAGTCGACTCGAAGTCGTGCTCTTTTGCTCTTCCCTGACCGGGCTGAGGTCTTGGATGAATGAACATTTATAATAAAAGGTTTCCTTACAGCACAGAGTGACGTTACTAACATCTGTTGTTTTTATATTGTAGGTACAGCCAAACAATTACTGCACTTTTTACGATGACCAGAGGCAGAACTGGTCCCTGATGTTTGACTCTGAGAAAAGTGCTTCGGACTTCTGCAAAGACGTGAGAAATGCAGGAGAAGATGCACAACTGAGACTTTAATTAGAAATCTGAAAAGCAAATTACACTTATCTTTTATTTCCAAGGTTTAATAATAATTTAAAAAAATCTGTTTTTATCAGCCTTAAAATGAAGTTGATACACCCTGAGAATCAGTGGCGTCAGAAACATTTGTAATGTGGGGGGACACACTGCTGGTGGGGGGTGGGGTGTCTGGGGATCCTCCCCCAGAAAATCTTGAATAAAGTAGATGCCGTTTCCTGCATTCTGGAGTATTTTAACGGGTTGTTAAACATACACAGTGCCTTGTGAAAGTATTGGGCCCCTTGAACTTTTCAACCTTTTGTCACATTTCAGGCTTCAAACATAAAGATATAAAATTAAATTTTTTGTGAAGAATCATCAACAAGTGGGACACAATCGTGAAGTGGAATGAAATTTATTGGATGTGTCAAACTGTTTTAACAAATAAAAAACTGAAAAGTGGGGCGTGCAATATTATTGGCCCCCTTGTGTTAACACTTTGTAGCTCCGCCTCTTGCTGCAGTTCCAGCTGCAGTTCCAGCTGCAAGTCTCTTGGGGTTTGTCTCTGTCAGTTTTGAACATGGAGACACTGAAGTTCTGCCCATTCTTCCTGCAGAACAGCTGGAGCTCAGTGAGGTTGGATGGAGAGCGTTTGTGAACAGCAGTCTTCAGCTCTTTCCACAGATTCTGGATTGGATTCAGGTCTGGACTTTGACTTGGCCATTCCAACACCTGGATACGTTTATTTGTGAACCATTCCATTGTAGATGTGTCTTTATGTTTTGGGTCATTGTCTTGTTGGAAGATAAATCTCCGTCCCAGTCTCAGGTCTCTTGCAGACTCAAACAGGTTTTCTTCCAGAATGGTCCTGTATCTGGCCCAATCCATCTTCCCATCAATTCTGACCATCTTCCCTGTCCCTGCTGATGAAAAGCAGGCCCAAACCATGATGCTGCCACCACCATGTCTGACAGTGGGGATGGTGTGTTCAGGGTGATGAGCTGTGTTGCTTTTACTCCAAACATATCATTTTGCATTGTGGCCAAACAGTTGGATTTTGGTTTCATGTGACCAGAGCACCTTCTTCCACATGTTTGGTGTCTCCCAGGTGACAAACTTTAAACTACACTTTTTATGGAGATCTTTGAGAAATGGCTTTCTTCTTGCCACTCTTCCATAAAGGCCAGATTTGTGCAGTGTACGACTGATTGTTGTCCTATGGACAGACTCTCCCACCTCAGCTGTAGATCTCTGCAGTTCATCCAGAGTGATCATGGGCCTCTTGGCTGCATCTCTGATCAGTCTTCTCCTTGTTCCAGATGAAAGTTTAGAGGGACGGCCGGGTCTTGGTAGATTTGCAGTGGTCTCATACTCCTTCCATTTCAATATGATTGCTTGCACAGTGCTCCTTGGGATGTTTAAAGCTTGGGAAATCTTTTTGTATCTAAATCCGGCTTTAAACTTCTCCACAACAGTATCTCGGACCTGCCTGGTGTGTTCCTTGGTCTTCATGATGCTCTCTGCTCTTTGAACAGAACCCTGAGACGATCACAGAGCAGGTACATTTATATAGAGACTTGATTAAACACAGGTGGATTCTATTGATCATCATCAGTCATTTGGGACAACATTGGATCATTCATAGATCCTCACTGAACTTCTGGACTGAGTTTGCTGCTCTGAAAGTAAAGGGGCCCAATAATATTGTACGCCCCACTTTTCAGTTTTTTATTTGTTAAAAAAGTTTGACACATCCAATAAATTTCATTCCACTTCATGATTGTGTCCCACTTGTTGTTGATTCTTCACAAAAAATAAATTTTATATCTTTATGTTTGAAGCCTGAAATGTGGCAAAAGGTTGAAAAGTTCAAGGGGCTGAATACTTTCACAAGGCACTGTATATATACCTACATAAGTAACACTAGATTCAATAACTCTTTTAAAGAGAAACAAGAAGTAGTCTGATCAGCTGCTCTCCTTGTGTGAATATCAACCAAAAACTGCTGGAAATAACGTAGCGCTAAGCTAGCAGGCATGCAATACAGATGCTTTAGCTAAGATGCTACAGACATTGCGCTCTGCTTCTTTCATACACCCTAACCCCCCCACAGCTGTCAACAACTGCCAGCACTAACGTGGTCCTAAGTAGTGTGCAAAACAGAGATGTCTCAAAACAGAAATGTCTGCACCTGTTTGAACTGGTTCAAACAGGTGCAGTTCAAACCTCCTCCCCCCGTGAGTGCCCTGGCAAGGCAGATGACCTCAGGGAAACACTGCATGTGGTGTGGTGTTGTTGTAGGTAACCATGAAAACCCGGAGTGGACTTTTAGTGCTTTGAGTGTCCTGTTAATCAAGTGGAATGGATTCGTTCACGAAGAAAAAGAAACATTCATTCATTCAACCTTTATTTATACAGGCTAGTCTCATTGAGCCATGAGGACTCATTTTCAAGAGGGACCTGTTCCAGACAGAACATATAAAGTACAGACAACAATAACAATAAACTACAGTGCTGGGCGAACTAATATTTCAAGGTAAATATGGGGGTGTCCAAATTAATATTTATTAAATGTGGGGGAGACACCTTCCCTTCACATATAATTGTTGCGACACCTATGGGAACAACAGCACAGGGCAGTGAACAGGCAGGAAGTGGGTCCATCCTGAACAGGTCATCAGACATCTCAAGCTAATGAGTGCTTTATACTTAGTGATTTTAAAAGACGTCATCATTAAAGGCAGAGCAACAAACAGATGAACTGTTGGTGTTAGTAGCTCATGACCTTCATCTGCCATCATCACTGCAGCTTACAAATGGACTTTTAGTTTGGTCTGGTTTCTCTCTTGATTGAACAAGTTCTGTCTTCATCATCAGGTGTGTTTGGCCAAAGCAAACAGCACATCCTCCTTAGATTCTGCGCTGATTCAGGACCTGAGTCTCGGTGAGGGCCCAGCAGTGGACAGTGGAGACTCTCTGGAGGTGGTGTACACAGGCTGGCTCCTGCAGAACCACACCATTGGACAGGTCACACACTTCCATCAACAGTTTTTCATTTCACTTTGTCTTCACCTCTTGTGATTTTCCTCAATCTGATATCAAACTTTAAATATTATTTCAGGTTTTTGATTCCAACCAGAACAAAGACAAGTTTCTACGACTTAAAATCGGGGCTGGAAAAGTGATAAAAGTCAGTCCAAATTTTTTTATTTTACTAAAAATGCACAATGTTTTGTTACTGTGATGTGGTATTTTGGTACCACTTGTTGCTTGTTGTCCTGTAGCCCATCCCAGTCTTGTGCAGGTTTACAGTTTAGTCCCTGCTGTCTTTAGACAGCTCTTTGATCTTGGCATCATGTAGAGGTTGGAGTGATTGAGTGTGTGGACAGGAGTCTTTTATAGATCGAACCAGTTCAAACAGGTGCAGTTAATACAGGTAATGAGTGCAGAACTGGAGGGCTTCTTAAAGATAGACCAACAGATCTGTGAGAGATAGAGTTCTTGCTGGTTGGTAGGTGATCACTTACTAATTTCAAACAAACCGGATTCCAAAAAAGTTGGGACACTAAACAAATTGTGAATAAAAACTGAATGCAATGATGTGGAGGTGCCAACATCTAATATTTTATTCAGAATAGAACACAAATCACAGATCAAAAGTTTAAACTGAGAGAATGTATCATTTTAAGGGAAAAATCTGTTGTTTCCAAATTTCATGGAATCAACAAATCCCAGCCATGATGTTGTGATTGCTGCAGAATGTGGTCTGGCATTATCGTGTTAAAAAATGCAGGGTCTTCCCTGAAAGAGATGACGTCTAGATGGAGCATATGTTGTTCTAGAACCTGAACATAGTTCTCTGCATTAATGGTGCCTTTCCAGACATGCAAGCTGCCCATGCCACAAGCGCTCATGCAACCCCATACCATCAGTGATGCAGGCTTCTGAACGGAGCGTTGATAACAACTTGGGCTATCCTTGTCCTCTCTGGTCCGGATGACACGGCGTCCCAGTGTTCCATAAAGAACTTCAAATTGTGACTCATCTGACCACAGAACAGTCTTCCATTTTGCCACAATCCATTTTAAATGACCCCTGGCCCAGTGCAAACGTCTGAGCTTGTGGAGCTTGCTTAGAAATGGCTTCCTCTTTGCACTGTAGAGTTTCAGCTGGCAACGGCGGATGGCACGGTGGATTGTGTTCACTGACAATGCTTTCTGGAAGTATTCCTGAGCCCATTCTGTTATTTCCTTGACAGTGGCATTCCTGTTTGATGTGCAGTGACGTTTAAGGGCCCGGAGATCACGAGCATCCACTAGAGTTTTACGGCCTTGACCCTTACGCACAGCGATTGTTCCAGATTCTCTGAATCTTTTGATGATGTTATGCATGGTTGATGATGATAACTTAAAAGTCTTTGCTATTTTACGCAGGGTAACACCATTCTAGTATTGCTGCACTATCTTTCTGTGCAACAATGGTGGAATTGGTGATCCTCTTACCATCTTGGCTTCTGAGAGACACTGACACTCTGAGAAGCTCTTTTTATACCCAATCATGTTGTCAATTGACCTAATTAGTCTCAGTTGGTCTTCCAGCTGTTCACTATATGCTCAATTTCCTTTTTCCAGCCACTTATTGCTACTTGTACCAACTTGGTGAGGATTTGTTGACACTGTGAAATTTTGAATCAACATATTTTTCCTTCAAAATGTTACATTTACTCAGATTAAACTTTTGATCTGTCATCTATGTTATATTTCGAATAAAGTATTGACATTTGCCATCTCTGCATCATTGCATTCAGTTTTTATTCACATTTTGTTTAGTGACCCAACTTTTTTGGAATCTGGTTTGTGCAATAGAAGGCAATTTTTTTTTAATCAATGTGATTTTCAGGATTTTTTTCTTTCTTAAATTTTGTTTGTTACAGTTGAAGTGTACCGATGATAAAAATTACAGACCTCTCCATTCTTTTTAGGTGGGAAAACTTACATAATAGGCAATGTATCAAATAATTATTTTCCCCACTGTGTTTGTGCGCATGTGTGTGTGCACGTGTGTGCGCGTGTGTGTGTGTTTGTGTTGTAAGTCATAACTATCAAAGTTACAAGAAATAAAGGCTTGAAAGTTTTCTCTGTAATGAATCTTTATAAAATATGCTCTTAACTTTCTGAAATGATTGACAAAAAATATTGAACTTTTTCACAATATTCTGATTTTTTTTAAGATGCCTCTTTAAAGCTTTGGAATGGTTCTTTACGTTGGGTACCAGTTGACCCAATGGGTCAACGTTTCCCATCAGACCTGAGATGTTTTCATTTGTCTTTCTGTCCTCCATGTGTGGAAAGGTATGGGAGGAGGGGATGGTGGGAATGAAGAAGGCAGGTCGTCGTCTCATCGTCATCCCCCCCAGTCTCGCCTATGGGTCCAAGGAAGTCCCTAACCGAGTCCCAGCTAACAGCACTCTCATATTTGAAGTGGAGCTCAGACGGGTAATAGCCCCTGAAGTTTTCTACATAAGATAAGATAGAACTTTATCTATCTATCTTTATCTATCTTTATTTGATCCCGCAGGATATTGTTCTTCTTTTATGCTTCTGCACAACATTTTAAACACACTGAAGGTGTGTTTGTGTGTCTGTAAGAAACTAATGGTCTTTTTTCATTAGTAACGGTACAGCATGGTTCGACTCGACTCGGCATGGTTCTAAGGCTCTTCCACTAGCATTTATTTGTGGAACCAAACCCTTTTTCAGGACCATTTTTCTGGGGTTCCAACTGTTCTGTTCTGGCCTGAAAACGTGACGTCAGAACACTGTTGGTTACTGATTGGTCAGGGGGTGGAGTCACTGGTTGTTGAGCAGCTTTCACAACAACCCGATCTGTCATTTGCAATAACTTGAACTTGAGGAGCAACTGGACCCATTTTAAAGATTTTAAAAACAATAATGACAACACCGTGGTCTAACGCTGAAGTGCTGGCGTTTTTTTGTGCTTGGTGGCCGACGACAGAATTCAGAGTGCGCTAGATGGAGCTCCTCTGGTCTACCCCTGCCCTCTCCACCAGAGCCTTGGTGCCCCCCTTCAGGCTGGGCAGGGCGTCATCTCCCTGGCTCCGAGCTCCACCCTCACTGTAGAGGTTTCCAGAATTGTACCGCTCAAGGTGGCTGCATGTTGGAGCAGCTCTGTTACATTAATTCTGAGAATTTGCTTTTGGAAACTTTAATTCCTCTTTTTTTCTGGATGTAAATTACTTTTTTCGGATGATTATGTCCTCTGGTAGCAGATGCTGTGCCGCTGGAAGGATTTTTACTGAAACTTTTTTAGTTTTGGACATTTGTTACGATTTGTAACCATGACAACGAGGTGGTTTTCTACACCTGGGAGCTACTGATTAACATCTCAAAAGCTCACATTATCTCAACTACATCCCCAAATCCCAAATAAGTTGAAAAGGAGGTGCCATGGATGCATTACCGTCTACCTGGAGGCGGTGCTCGAGTGCCTGACTGCCAAGATCTTGGAGGTAGCGGGACATGTGGTTCGTGACAGCGGGAGAACCGAGATTGTCCCCCGGCACCTGCAGTTAAGTCCACAGCGACGAGGGGCTCAGCAGGCTTCTGGGAGAAATGGCCATCGCTCAGGGAGGAGTTCTGCCTGGCATTCAGGCAGTCCTGCTGCCCAAGAGGACTGAGAGGTCTGCTTGGTCTGGGTGGACAAATCGGCATCTGCAGCTAGTTTCTTCGGATCCGCTGTGGGACGGACTGCTACAAGAGATCCTTCCTTCCCAGAGCCATCAGCATCTATAACAACTCTAATAAAACCAAGATGAGCTACAACAACATTTAATTTCCCTTTGGGATTAATAATGTATTTTTGAATTGAATTGAGTCCTCCGTGCCGCCGACTCGGAGTAGCGCGCGAGACCGGGACTGTGGCGGGCCCTGGCCTTGCACGCTCCTGCGGGCCCTGAGCTTCGCTGGTCACCATGGAGGATCATACAAGCTGCCGACCCGCAGGAGTGCGTGAGTCCAGATCCTGAGCCCCGGCAGGAAGGGGCGGACCGGGACAGGTCTGGGACGGTGTGTGGAAACTATTTTTAAAAACATATTATGTATTTAATTTTTTTTAATTTTTATTTATTTTTTTATCAGTAAAGATAAAAAAATAAACGATGCCGGTTTTATCATGAAATCCTGTTTTCACTTTAATAAATTTATTAAATAATCTGTTAATAAGGGCTGGGCCATATCATATCATTCACGTTTATACCAGTAAAAAAAGCTTGCCCGGGAAAATTAATTATATCATGATATCGTGCTCGAGCATCAATGTGTGGCATGGAGGCTGCACAGCTGCAGAAAGAAAAGCTTTGCAGAGAGTGGTGAAGGCTGCACAGAAATCTGTCGGAATCAGCCTCCCCACCATCACAGACATCTACACCTCCAGATGCAGGAAGAGGGCCACCTGCATCATGAAGGACCCCACTCACCCAGCACACACACTTTTTGCCCCACTCCCCTCAGGAAGGAGGTTAAGGAGCATTAAGTGTAGAACCACTAGACTGAGGAACAGCTTCTACCCTGAGGCTGTTAGACTCATGAATCTCTAACTAGAATAATCACTGTGAAAAACCATATCATGTTGCTGCTGATCTGTTTCATGTTGCTGCTGATCTGTTTCAATGTTGATGTGTTCATGCGTGCACATCTGCTCACAGACTCATGTTCATGTTTGTGCTGATGTTCAATGTTTTATGTTATGAGTGCTTAGTGTATATTTAGTTGATGTTTTTCTTATTTCATATCTTAGATGTTATTACTGTTTTTCTTATACATTTTATTGTTGGATGTAACTGGGACCCTGCGTACATAATTTCGCTCCACCACATGTACCACATGAGGTGCGAATGACAATAAAAAAACTCTGACTCTGACTCTCTGACTCTGATATGCTAAATTCATGACATAATACATCAGGGCGCCCCGCCCCATTAACAGAACAGAGCGCGCCGAACGACCAAACTGAACTGCGCACTTCCCCTCCACCTGTCGGTACTGGCGTAATGCTAATTAGTTGCGCGCAATACTAGCTAGCTAAAAAGCTAAAAAAATATATATATTTTTAAAACGACACACGTCTCAGCTGTCTCTCCACCCAGCTCTAAACTTCAGGTATAGACAGCTCAACTGTCTCTCCCTTCCCCTCCACTCTAAGCTGCCGGTACAAATGCAGCTCGTCTTTTTTTCTCTCCCCCACCCAGCTTTGAGGTACAAATGCAGCTCGTCTTTTTTCTCTCCCCCACCCAACTTTGAGGTACAAATGCAGTTTGTCTTTTTTTCTCTCTCTCCCACCCAGCTTTGAGCTGCTGGTACAGAAGCAGCTCGACTGGGTCTCCCCCCGCTCTAAACTGCCGGTACAAACACGCGCAGGTTTATCTCTTCGTTCCACAGTCCATGGACCAAGAGCAGAGTCGGGTGATCAGAGACAGAGCATCAGAGAAATGAATCATTCCTGCAGGAACTGAGGAAGCTGAAACACCACAAGCTTCAGGGTCAGATGATCACCTTGTTACAAGTTCTGGAAGTTATAGCTCATATATTTTGTTGTATGTTACATTTATGCTCAACAGATCTTGAGCTTCATTTTATTCATTTTGGGAAACTATACCTGCACTTTAGTTTGTGTGGTGGATTTTGTTGATCTATATTTTGTGCAAACTTTTTCAATCTAAATAACAGAAGGATCATTTTTATTTTTTATTTTTATACTTGGAGACTAAATACTTTACTAAATGAAGTAATTTCAGTAAAATTAACCCTTGTTTTTTTAGTTTTTTATATAATACTGCAACACATGTTAAGTTAATTTTGTCAAATAAATAACTATGATTTCTGGGTTGTTTTTGGTTATATCATGAAATTTATCGTTATCGCCAGAATGCTCTGAATTATCACAATATTATATTTGAACCATATCGCCCACCCCTACTGTTAATTAAAATTAACTCGGTTGAAAAATCATAAAAAAAAAAATTATTGGATCTCAGGAATATTTCCCTCAAATATGTTTAAAGAAGAACTACAACCTTTAGTTAAACTCTAAACCACAGATGTACAAATCACAAAACAAGAATTAAATTTTAAAGCAAAGCTAAAATAAATAAATAAATTGTAAACAAGAAACCAAACCACATATCTAAATTAAACAATAAAAGTAGACACAATGAGTGCAAATACATTAAATGATGAAGAAAACCTATACAATGGGGGTGGGGGACACAGAGGCAGCTGCGTGCTGTTTGCACAGACAGTTTTACAGTTTTAGAGCAGGGTGTGTGAAAGGAGAGAGACAGAGGCACATCTCAGTCGCGCGCTGTCTGAACTAACAGGTTTTTTGTGTGTGTG